GCCCAGCCCCACCCATAATAATTTAAAAAAAATTTCTCAAACCTGGCCAATGCGTAATAATTTTGAAATTTTTTTCTCAAGCCTGGAGATAGGTAAATCTCTAAAAACCATATTCATTTTTTATTCTTTTTAATCCCACTCAATCCTACTTCAGACCAAGACCAACTCATTAGAACTAATAGTGAATACTATTTTTTGAATAAAAATATATTTAAATTAGCTTTTACCTGAGACCCATATAAATATTATGCCTAATATCTAATATAGAAATATTCCCAACAGGTTCATGCTCATAATCATGTTGAGAAATTCTTCTCAAGCCCGCCAAAGACCATAATAATTTTGGTAGTTAATAACTGAAATAAAATATGTAAAAGTCATAATTCATTTAAAAATACAATCAGAATATGAAAGTTGCATGAGCCTTGGTTTTTTGATCAGGCCTAACTAGCTATGTCTGCAAAAAAAATTTTCAAGCCAATGTCTAACCCATATTTAAAATTCAAAAATCTTCAAGCATCTCTATTTAAAATTTTATCTAATATGATTTCCATCACAAATTTAAATTTTGATATTTCTAATACTCTTAATGCTCACTGTATTGCAACAATTTTACCTCTTTTTCTCCTAAATTTTAATATATTTATAAAATTTATTAATAATATATATTTAGTATCATACACACAAACTAAAAAATTACCCTTCAACACTGTCAGCTCTATATGGTAATAAACGGCAAAATTTTAAAAATATCCAGCTATTAATTAATATATATATAATTAATATTTTAAATTTAATTATATTCCAGTTGATGCATGCCTAAAGCATACGCCTTTGAAACAGGAGGTTTGTGGTTCGACCCTCGTAGATAGCAAAAAATTAATTACATTATATAGTCTCCTTAAATTTTAAATACATTAGGGAGATACGAAAGATCGTGTTTTGATTATGGAGATTATATATATTAGATAAATAAAAGACCATAAAAATATAAAGTAGAATATATATTACTACATGCATCGAATAGAATTTTAAAAAATAGGGTAAAAAAATATATGTTACATGGGAAAAGGATGAAATAACAATAATTAATATGCCAACAATTCATAAAAGGGGGGGGGGAGGAGTGGGTCAATATAGTTTTCCATGTAATTATAATTTTAATTTAAAAAACTATAACACTCTATTACGCTAATTGATATTAAAATTGTGATATAATTTTTCGCAATAATGGGTTTACTTCAAATATTATATTACTAAAGATCTTAACAAACTAATTTAATGTATATAATTTCCTAATATGGATTAAAATTTTATATTACTAATACAATTAAATACTAAGAATTTTTTTTAACAAAATAAATCTATTTTTTTAAAAAAATCAGCAGCTCTTCTTCTTTAAAATCCCATGCGAGCGAAGGAATATAGGACAATTGTTTTCATGTCGTGTCCAATCATCAATTTTTCTTTTACTAGCGGCTCTTCGTCTTTAGTAACATACCATACTTCGTCTTAAGTACATATCATGCGAGCGCAGGAATTATACGGGGCTCTCCACAGATTACAATAGGCTGGTTCCCTTATCCTTCCACCATGTGGGGATTTTAAGGATTGAGTTAGACAAGAATTAAAGGTATTTAGTGGTGGTAAAATAATAATCTTTATCACAATTTATCAGTTATATATATATATCTTTCGGTAAAAGTTAATTGTATAGAAAAAACTTGAATATTATTTCAACAAGAAAATAAATTTATTTTTACAATTATAGATACATTAAATATTTGATCTATACCCGCAAAACAATATACAAACAGATGATATAATATTATAAATAAAAAACCATAAAAATATAAAGTTGAATATATATAATATTACTCACCATCCATGATTTATTTTTAATTGTGATAAAATGAATAAGTAAATTTTTTATAAATTATTTATTAGAAATTTTATTAATTTTCAAACATTTGTCACTTTCTGAAGTTTAATAAAATGACTTGAGGCACAAATTCGGACATTTTCCAAATTAATTTCTTCGACTCTATCCTAATTCGACTCGACTTATTTTTGATACTTATACTATGTTTTGAACTAGGACACCCTATTTTGGTTTATTTTAAAGTGTTTGGTGGCATTGTTATTTTTCGTATTTTTTAAAATTTTTCATATAACTTTTTAAACTATTTAGTCAAAGTTAAATATCCGAATCGAATAATTTTTTATCTATTATTCGATCAAATTATTCTTATAATTTTAAAGTTATTTTTATTAATTGAAATAATTTGTAAATATTCTAAATTATTCATAAATATCTGAAATTATTCTTAAGCATTTAATATGTTCATTGTTAAACTTTTTATTTTTTTTTACTTTTTCCCCACACATCTATAAATCACTTTTTTGAAAATATTTTTATTATTTGTATGAATACGAATTATTCAAATCGTATGAATATAAATAATATAATTTATCAATTAGAAAACACGAATAATATAAATATTGATTCGTATTTTATGTGTATACTGATTTCTATCAAGCATAAATTAACCAATATGTATTGAAATTGATTTCAGAATTTGTCTCAAATCGAAAATTCCCCTATCTATTAAATTAAAAATATACCACTTTGTGTTATGTTATACTTAACCCCTCCTCTCTCATATGACCAACTAACCTCCCATTTATAAAAAAAATTCAGACACCCCACTATATTATCCCCGAAATGTTTTTTTCCATTATGCTCTATTATCGATTTATTCAATCACAATCCAAGATAAAATGCGAATTTTTAATTTCGCATCAGAGTATAAAAAAAAACAATTATTATAATGTTATTGACCACAGGTTTCTGCAATTATTCTCAAATATTTTAATTACAATGGGAAATTCAATTTTTAAAATTAAAAATATTACACTAACTTAAAGAGCTTTTGAGAATTTATTTTTTTCAATGGATTATTTCCCAATTAACTGTCATTTTTATTTTCACACTATGAGGCTTCAAATGATCTATATTTATAAATTATATAGGCCCTACAAATAATCAATGTGATCTTAAATTGATTAATATAAATCTTATAACTTTTTTTGTAAGGGGGGGGGGGGGTAAGTATAACTCGCAGGTTAAAATATTAATAAATAGTAAATAATATATTGTAAAATTTCAGTACAAATAAATTGTTTACATCATGCAGTTTTGTTTAAAAAAAAGTACAGAAATCATTGATAGATTTTGAGTTTAAAAGAATCAATGTAAAATAAAATAATTATTTTTATCTTCGTACTTAAATTACTTCAATAATTTAATATTACCGATTTACTAAAAAAATATTGACTAATTTTTACCAATAAAATAATTAAAAATATTTTATAATTTATTTGATCCTATACATAAGTCTGATAGATATTTGGGAAAAATGGGAAATCTGAGCAGCTCTGAGATATATAATAGAAGCATCATTGAAAATGCAGTTTACAAGTCCTCCAACACAGAAATCGTTCTAACTTATCAGATGACATCTATATTCACTTTTTTTGGATTGATCGGTAATTTTCTCTATTTCCTATCCACTTTCAAATTGACACGCAAACCTCATTATTACATATATATATATTTTGTTCTCAGTTGCGACTTTCTGGTCACCCTAAACTTTATATTCTGGCCTTTCCTTTTTTACATAAAAGAGGGAAACATTCATTCCAATTATTTTATAACTTACATATGCCAAGTGCAACCGGTGTTCGTCGAATTTTGCGCTTCGAACGTCAATTGGATAACTGTCGTAGTTTCTGTGGATAGACTTATTGCCATACATAAACCATACGATTATGGGTCAATTTTCACAATGTCTCGCATAATTAAGGCGTGCGTGGGAATAAGCTTATTTAACCTTCTCCTCAATATACCAAGATATTGGGCATTTCAGGTATACGAATTATATAATGATGGAAAAAAAGTGTACAGGCCCATCCAAAACATCAACCAACTTACCTTCTGTTACGACCAGTTCTGTTGTATAGTCATGTATTTAATACCCGTACTTGTTTCAACGATAGTGAATGTGTTACTTATATTTAAAAACAAAGTTGGAATTAGAGTGCATCCTTCTTATCCATCCCATCCCTGTACGAGTATTGTATCGCCAACGACTCTAAAAAAGAATTGGAACTTGGTGAGAATAAAGTCATATTTAGTGGCAATAAAACGTTCCAGTATATTTAACAGAAATACCCCAACTCTTGGAACACACCCAGGTGAGGCATATAATAATAATGTCAATAATAATGGGAAAAGGGAGAGACCTATCAATCGTTCCGATCTCCCTAATCATGTCAACAATGGTCTTTTTAGTATTAGCTCTAACTCGGGAAACATTCATTTCGTTTGTTCAGCTTTACACCAAAATAAATTCTTCAGACATTTAATATTGAATCCATTTACAGATAGACCAGGTAAAAATTCGAACAATGTAGCAACTGAAAATATCTCTAACGCATTGACAATGATGCCTTCTCAGATATCATCGCATATTTATTCGATAAAAGAAATAAAGAACTCTCTCTCTCTGCGGAATAAATATTTATTGAACAACCAGGCCGCCATGCTCATATTGGTGCAGAGTTCGTTACTCTTCTTTTTCAACGCGCCTTTTGTGTGTTTCGTTCTGAAATACAAGTACTTTTGGAACAACTCCTTTTCCTCCCAGATATACGAAAAACAAATAATTATTCATTTTATCAAACATCTCAACCCACTCTTAGGGGTTTACGTTAACATATTATTCGATAAAAACGTAAGGGCCATATTTTACGGTTACATTAAAAGAGCGTTAAGCGCGGTAGCATTAATGATTAAAAAGAAGCTTAGTATTACCATTTAGCAGGTATGGTAATGCAATTTCATGATAACCTATAGTGGTTCTCAAAAAATGAATATAATATTTCTAATTGGATTTTTTTTTGTAGTTTATAGACAAACATTAGTATCGTGTTAAAATTTTCATGCATTCTGAATAAAAAAAATAAAATTATAATAAAATATATATATCGAAATAATATAATTTACAATTTTTAAGATATAAACAATCCTCGCTGAAAAATTAAATGTTTCAAAGTAAGGTGTCGGTAAGAGTTTATATAATAATAAATGTCATTGGTTCTTTTTCCTATTTTCCGTCATTTTTAGATCAGGCTCCGTATCGTCCATAAATGTAATTGATGCCTCATCCATTCTCTTCTTGTCAACCGGGTAAAGCCACCGTTGGTATAAATAACACAAGAAAATTAAATCGTCCCTAAAACAGGCTATTCTATGAGTAGTAGGCATAGTTATGATGAAAGCGAACAAATCATCGATGAAGGTGTTGAAGGCCTTGTACATGAAAGCTTTCCAGGGTAGGTGGGATACCGATTTTAACTTTGATTGTTTTTGACCATTTCCGTGAAAATAAAAATTAAAAAATTTCTAAAAAGAAGAATAAAATGGGTAATTTGGGTAGTCAACCATAATTTATAAATGGGTAATTAAATCAAATTGGAAGGTTTTTTAACATGACTACATTACTTTGTAATTTATAATCAGTTGAGGGAGCATGAATATGAAACCGAATGCGTAAACTCCGTTCACCATTGAATTGATAAGCCAGGAATACCAACTTTAACAAAAAAAAATTACAATTAAGTTGACCTTAATATATTATGGTATTAAAAAAGATTGCCTGCCCTAGTTTTATCAAAATTTAAAAATCACAATTTTTACATATAAAATATTTTCGTAATTTTACCTATTTTTTTCTCCGATTAAGCTAAAATGGTTTTTCTAAAGATTTCAAAAAAGTATATAGCATCAAATGAACGTTTTAAACATTCATAGTTAATTTTTTTGCTCCTTTTCTAAATAAAACTACCCTATCATTCTACCATTGATATCGATTATCACAGCGGATGTAAGCAAAATAAACCTTTTGTGAGGGACATATAACAAAGAATAAATAGCTCCGCAGGTAACCAACGGGTACATCAGATAAGATAAGTATTGCATAGCTTCTTGGTCGTACTGTTGAGTCAATTTTTCGCCCGACATTGATGCCATTTTCTCAATACGTAAACGATAATACTCTAATTTGAGTTCAGTAGTATTTTTTGCAAATTTAAATTTTTTTAAAATGCCTTTCTTATTTTGTGATATATATTTCAGTAATAATGATACGTTTTGTGTAAAACACATTTCCATATATTTGTAACAATCTTGTTATAAAATTGTTTTTCTTTTAAATTTTATAAATATGTTACTTTTGCAATAATTAGTACAGCAAGTTAATCAATTTTATAAGAAAGTTGTTACAAATATATGTATAAATGTTTTACAACAAATCATTATTACCATATTATATTAAATCTTTTAGCGAATCAACATTATATGGGATAAAATCTTATCAGTTGGTCTCATCAGTATTATAAGTAGGGCTCGAACTCAAAACGAGAATTTTTTATCAAAAAAAACAAGAAACAATTAAAAGCAAAAAAAATTTCCCTACCAATTTTCATTAATTCCGTAACCTTAAATAATAAGATAATAAATGTCGTTTGTATTGAGATATGGAATCCATTGGAATTAATTTTGTATCATTTACTGAGGACCAATTTTAAATTTGAAAAATCTGATTTAAGCGAAATGCATTCCAACATGCATAGGGCATCCACAATGTGAATTTCAGATAAGTTTGCCAGGAACTTGATGAAGTATTATTAATATTACAATTTTTATATAAATTTAAAAAAAATACATAATAGTTTATGTTGTAAATTGTCTGATTTTTAGAGAGGCAATATAGTTAGGTCAAACGGCTTGATTTGAGCCGTTTTTAAATACGGGTAACTCGATATTTTAGCCAGAAAAATATTGCCTTAACCTCGAAATTTCGCTAATAGATGTCCAAATCTTTGTGCCATCTATGACCAAAATCTTCAGGTTAGCGTAATATTTTTAAAGCAGCTCGAATCGAGTCGTTAACACTAATAAGCATGCTGGAATGAATTTCCGGTTAAATTCAATTTTTAAAATCTTCCTCAGTAAAGGATATAAAATTTAGAGAATACGAATCCTCATGGATTCTATATCCAAGACGTATAATATTGTAAAAATAGTTATTTTATTAATTATAGAAGAAACATGAAATATAATTAGTTTTTTAAAATGATGAATGGAAAAAAATAAATAAAAGTGATGTTTTTAATCGAAATAAAATTTGTGTATTATCTACTACAGTGTTGATTAGATTTGATGGAAAACATTTCCATATTTTTTAATTTATTTGAAAATAAAATTATTTTTGCAAAATTGTTAAAATAACATATTTATATATTCTTATCAATTTTTACAAGTTAAATAATTTTATTTACGAACGAATAAAAAAATATGGAAATATTTTAAATTAAATCTGCATAAAACTGTAAGTTTACGTTAATTGGCGTTTTTTTTAAATATAATGATTTTATATTCAATTGTATAGCTCCTGATACATTTCCCAGTAGGGTAAAGATCAAAAAGGTTCGTTTATAAGACTTACTCTATTAATTGAATTTTCTATTATATACAATGTGAGTTTTTCAACTTAAGGGTCTTAACTTCCAAAATTAGCAAAAATAAAATAATTCTGTCTAAAATTTGCAAAAAAATTAATTCTTTCTTAAAATTTACTAATAAATCTATTTTTCAAAGGGCTTTACTAATAAATCTATTTTTCAAAGGGCTTTACTAATAAATCTATTTTTCAAAGGGCTTGAGCTCCTATTTATAACGTAATTGGCGTTATCATTAAAAAAAATTATATATATAAAATTTTGATTTCGGATCTCAAAAATATTTTTAAAAAATTTCCGATTCAAGCTTTTTAAATAATTTATAGTTATTCCGAGAAATGTTTTAAGCGAGTCATACAGTATTGATTTTTTTAAAAGGAGTTGATTATTGAATCCTATTTTCATCATGTTTGTTCTTGTCTTTTTTTAAAAATAAAATCACACAATTTCAATAGATTTGTTAGGAAATAAACTAGTGTTGTTACACGGCTCGATTTGAACTTTTTAAAAACGACTAACTCAATATTTTAGCCAAAAAAATATTGCCTAACTAGGCTTCGAAATTTCTTTAATAGATGTCCAAACCTTTATACCTTCTATGAGAAAAATCTTCAAAAAAACATCAGAGAAAAATGAGGATTTTAAGATCTAGGGTCTGGAACCGACCCAAGTTCAAAGCACACCTTCAATCTGCACCCTAGAATATTTTTAAAGCTCTGAATCCGGTCTCGAACCTATATTTATAAATAAACCAATTTCTTGGAGCAAGAAAAATATATTATTTTGCACCATTTTATTTGATATCAAAGTATTTTCAAATTATACAATTTTGTTTTCAAATTTCATGTAACATCTTAAAATAAATTAGATAATTTTGACCATTTGCTTAAATTAAAATCGAGTTCTTTATAAAACATTGATAGTGTTGTTTTTAAAAAAATTCTCATTTGTTTCTAATGGATTCACTCCTTCAACCTTTTTATTTCCTAAAGATTTACATAAAAATGTTCTTTTAGCCATTAGTCTTGCATATTGATCTCACGTTATTAAGTATAAGCTAAGTTTTTTAAAAATATTTTACTTTATGTAAATAGAAATTGAACACTTCGAAACTATCAAACCTCCTAAACTTTTATATGCCGTCTTGAAATTATACAAAATAAGATTTTTGTGCAAATTTTTTATCCTGTCTAAAGGTAGAAGAAATTAAACTTAAAGAAAATATTTTATATACTCTCCTCATTAAATTTCAAGATTTTCAATAATCTTGATAAAACGAAAAAGTTACAAACGAAGGCATCGCAAATTAGATGAGATTAAATAAAAAGGTTGAATGATCATATAAAAGCCGGACAATTAAATATTACTTAAATCAGACTAAAAATTTTGTTGACGAATACAGAACATTGATAAATTTCACTATGTTAAAATAAATATTTTAATTGGGCAAAATATTTTAAATTACTATTTGTAAAAAATATAAAAGTTTTTGAATTTTTTTGGAAAAAAGTATATCTTAAAATTGAGGTATAAAATATTTTATAAGATGCAAATCCATCTCGCAGAAATAGTCGTTCACTTCTTCAATATGCAAAACTGGATTGAAATGAAAATATGCTAAAGTAAAAGTTCCATAAGGTGATCTCTCACTGGAACGGTTACATTCAGTAGCATCACTATGGGAGCGCCAAAATAATTCTTTTTATTATAAGTTAGCAAAGAAAGAAGGTAATTTTAGATAATATTAGCTTAAAAAAAGGTAATAATTTTGAAGATAATTTAAAAAAATATTTTTGAGCTCATTGATATTGTAAAAGCTAAGGACGCCCCTCATTACATTCTAAAAGGATTGGAAGGGATGATCTGAATTTTAGGTCAAGAGAAGGAAATAGTCATATTTGTAAATTTTACTCTATATCATTTCAACGAGGCAATTATTTTATTTTCAAAATATGATTGATATTTTTTTAAAGAGAGGGGGTCATTTTAATTAGATTAATTTAAAAATACAAAATGCCATCATAAAATTTTCAAACGAAAATAAAAGTTGACATATAAAAAAAAGTATAAATATAGAATATCATCTATTATATATCTTGTTAAATAGTCTGACTAATTATTTTATTATTTTGTAAAGGTATAAATTTTTGAAAATATTTCTATAATTCAATCCCAGATCACAGAAATTCAATATTATATATTAAAACGTATTTATCATGTTTTACAAGTTACCCCCTATCGTAATTTTTTTTAAATTACTAAAAAAAATTTGTAAATTTGGGATTACTCGTAAAAACAAATATTAAGAGTTTTTATGAAAAATAAAAATGTAGCTTGTTGAAAATGGGGATAATCGGCAAATCTTCAATTTTATATCTCGATGATATGCCTTAAAAAAATCAATAAAAAAATAAGAGATATATCACCATTAAAACCTTTAAAGATGATCATTTGTGTTGACAATAAAGCCTCTGATTCAATCATTATAAGACCCCTGCCATGATCATCTCTTGAGTGAGATCGGTGAGAGGCGCTCTTACGTAGTCCACTGGATCTTACGCGTTTTATTTTATTGCTATGCATATAAAAAGAGCGTAGTCTTTTTATATATAAATACATAAGGTCACCCTACTGCTGGGTAAAATATTTATGTAATGTAATTAATTATTAAATGGATAAGATTTAGGTTTATCATAATACTAATAGTAATAATATCAATATGATTTTAAAATCGTTTTCGATTGTGAAGTAAGTAGAATAGAAATATGATAATTTCTCTCAAATAAACACTTATTTGTGAATCAAGTGTATATAATTTGCTAAAATATATTAATTATAATTATTCCATTTTGATTTAAATTCGAGCATGTTTGCCATAGGGGTGAAAAAAATAGGCGAAAAAAAATATAATTGTTTTTTTTTTCGTTATCCCCAGTTTGTCATGGATTATGAAATTATAATTCCATAAATTCTAACGGAATTTTAGAGAACAATAAGATGCTTAGTTTTGAATAGTATACCATGCATGGGACAAATTACTAGGATCCGACCTGACCTGCTTTTTTCGGAGCGCCCCACAATTTAAAAAAAATGGAAACAATTCTATGTAAATCTAGCAAGCAGTAATCGGCCAAATATTGACTTAAAAATTGCCGGGGACACGACCTGATTTGCGTTATAAACATTTAATAAAACCAATCGGTGTAGAAAACTTAATGAGTAAAAGGCAATTTTTATAACCATTTTTTAATGGATGGTGTTTTATCGTAATTAATTACCAAAATATAATCTTGCTAAAATGCTTATAGTCTCTCTATATGTAGCAATGAAGTGAAGCTTGAAAGACAATGCCACCCCCCCCCCCCCAACCTCTAATGAGTTTCTACGATTGATAAATAAAATTTTTCCAAAAATCTCTAATGATTTTTAAATTTTGACCTGGCAGGCAACTCAACTTGAGGCGTATCCTATTTTTCTGAAAAGACGATTAAGGAAAACTGAAATAAAAAAATTTCTGTTTTTGAGATAGAGATAATTGATAAATTAATATGAACTAATAAGGAACAAAATATTAGCGCAACACAGATATTTACAGTGTTTCTATATTTTCCTTTCTTAACGATGCCAATTTTTTTCTTATTCTTTTGCCAATTTATTCTTAATACTTTCTATCAAACGGATTAAAGCACTAGAATATACTAAGCTAGTGCTCAATTTATTTTTGAACGTGAACGCAAAATTAGCCAACATTTTGTCTTTTGATAATCTTTTTTTCTTTATTTAGCTACAAACTTATTTAATAACTAAATAAATATAGACTTCGGTAGTAGAATTACTAATTCAATTGTTCGGACAACAAAATGGTGCTAATGATAAATAAAAATGGGACCCCTCATGAAAAAAGCCTTGGCTAAAAAAAACTCATATATTATTTTAATTTAAATAAGAAAAATCGTCTTTTCATTTTAAATCCTTTTTTGATCAAAATAGAGTGGCAATGTTTAGTAAATTTCGGGTTAGTTATGCAATTGATTAATTAAAATAAATAATGAATTTATTTAATTTAAACCAAGATTTAGGAATTAATATGAATATCCGGAGATAAACCTAGAAAAGGTAACTAAACGATGAAAAACAATAATCTTAAGTCAATTATATCAATTTAAAAAAAATAACCAATACCTAAGCAAACAATAATTGATGATTCGCGCAATCTAAGTAAGAATAATAAGTTATAGATTAAGTTTCAAATAAGAAGGATTTAAAATAAATTCTAAGATAAAGACTTCGTAAAATAATTAATGTTGATTATAGCACTTGCATCTAAAACATTTGCCAAAAATTAGAATTAGACGTTATATAAAAGTCCCTCTCACCCCCACTCCATTTAAATTACACTCAAAATACGCCCTATTTTTTAACAATTAAGCCCTATTTCGATCGGCATTTAAGTCAACCAATTTATAACAAAACTTTAAATATGTGAAATGTTTATACAATTTAGAAATACTATTTATTTAAGTTAACGGCTAGGTTACCTGTCAAAAATGGTGATGAATCAGAACAGAAACATGTCCTAATACTAATAATAATATAAATCAAATGGTTTAAAGTAAAACTCTTAAATAGAGTCCACAGAAATTTTGCATCATAATAATAATTTAGTTAATAAATGTTAATTAATGCTGTTTTTGGGAAAAATTTATTTTATATGGCACACATCTGAGGGTAAGTTGGCCATGTAAGTTGAAGGACACTGTAACTGTCTTAATTGGACATTTGGCGCCTCAATTATTTATATGCTATTTAATGATATTTTTACAGAGCATATCAGGATGAGTCCTCCCCTTGGTTATCCGAAATTATGAAGAAAAGTGGATGAGATAGTTACTTATGTTTCTTAACCCAGGATCCATTACAAGGGAAATTGGCGAAAGGAGAGGGGGCTATATAAAAATTCAAAGAGATTATATATTTTATAAAAATAAAAAATGGCGAGGGAAGGCAAGCGCCCTAATCCTCCTGGCAATACATCTCTGTTTTTTTATGACATTTATTCGACAAACCTTTATGCATGTTTATTAGACTGCAAAGTTGCTTATTACAAGGCGGCTACCCGGCTGGATATTTTATTTTTGCTCATTTTATGTCCGATCCGGAATTTTTAAAATTTAGTTGTTTAAATAATTTGGGCCTTATTATGTTAATAATTTAAAAGGGAAATTGAAAATATGAGTAGGAAATGAATATTAAATGCTTTATTATATAGTTTTTTTAACTTATTAATATTTTTAAATGGCCTCCTGGTTTTATGAAAAATAATTTTTTGACTGGCTCGAGTCTATTTTTTTAAATTTACGGGGCTCTGGTCTGGGCCTGAGATCTCTGATATTTATAATATATATTAGGCATGTGCAAAATCAAAACTTTTTGGCTCTAATTAGCCCGCGGCCTGGTGGCAAAATTCTTTGGATTACACCCCCTAATTTGTTAAAAAAGCATATAGGGCAGAAATATCAAACTCAAAATATTTATTTAATTCTCTATTTTAATTTCATGTAATTTTAAATATTCGGCAATAACTTTGATAATTTTATTCCATTTAGTAATAGTAAATATTTCTCACCTCCTTTTTATTATTTAAAATTCATCATTTTATAGTTGTAAATTCAATTAGGCAAATAAAAAGGAAGAATAGAAAGGAAAGCGGGCCAACACCGCAGGACTATTATATATTATGTAATATTTCGTAACTTTTAATAATACACTGAGGCATAAATGACTAAATTTTGTCAAAAAATTAAAAAGTTTTCAAACATTATTACAAGTACAATATAAGAACTTAGGTTTGGAATGAATCGGTAGATACCAATCCCTTCAGAAAAAATATCACGCTCTCTCCTTTTTATCACGAATAAATTAAAATTTTATTTTACTTTAAAAAATAAAGGAATATTTACGAAGGTAAGTTCCCCACGAGCCTTCAAAATAGCGTAAAAGAGGATTGGAAAGAAATTATGTTTCTCATCCATTCACTTTCTAATGTAATTATTTTTCACATATTCTTAAATTATAATAGAAAGTAAAGATAAGTATATATATTGATTAAAAAATGAATGTCTCAAATCGTATTTAAAAAATGGCAGATAAAATATAACTGCTCATATAAAAAATGTAAGTTTTAAGAACTTAATAACTCTTAATTTTTAATTAGCTTTGAGGCCGTCAGGGCTAAATCTGTCTGTGCAGAGTTCTATCTATTATCTTCAGATTATCAATAACTAAAAAATTTCTTCCCTGGTATATAGTGTTTGAGACGCTTCCCGTAAGTTGTATAATCCCTAGGAACACATCACACATTTGAAATATGGGAAAATGTTTTATCTTTTCTACTTAACGTCGATAAATCAAAAGATAAATTTATAAAATTATTTCAAACCTTTGTCCCAGGATATCCTAAACTTGAAGGCCTTCAAAAGTTTCCATATTTCTATCAAGGAACCCACGCCAGTAGGGATAAGAATGATTAAGCTTGTCTTCTCATTGCACAGATATAAAAATATGACAATTTGACTGAAGCATCTCCACACAACTTCAGTAAAAAATAAATATACATTGAATAAATTGTCTTAAAAAGTTGAATTCTGAATTAAAATAGTACCATTTAAAAAACTTGGTAGGTATAATAAGGTTATAAATAATGTAAAACGTGAAATAGTTAATTTATTTAACAATATAGTTTTATATAATTTATAATAACATATGAGCTAAAAAAATACCTTTAATGAATATAATGATAATAAAGAAAGGGATAAAATTTTATATAAATATATTAAAATAATGAAAGATTCAACCAAGCAGATTTATTATATTTAATTCCCTTTCTTGTTATATCATACAACATAGTGCCTAAAGCTAAAATTTGTTTTAAAAGAATATTAAAATATTTTAAGGTAACTGTAGGAGTTCGGAAGAATTTATGAATATAATTCCCTTGAACATGAAAATGATTGCGAAAAGGGGAGACCCGGAACCCTCGGAACCGAGACAAATCTAAAAACCGGAACCCATTTTAAAATTTTCGAGTTCTGGTCCCAGAATCGATTCTAATAAAAGTGAAAGTAATTTATGCATATTGTCGTATCGTCATGAACTGAGTAGTTCAAAATTCATAGTGAGTCTTTGCTGTCAAATCAAATTTTTGAATTTTAAAATCTCCTCAGTAAATGAGTTAAAATTTCAATCCCAAAGAATTCCTATCCCAATACGAAATATATATTGTATAAAATGTTTTGTGGTTTGTTTTAGAAGATTTATTTTAAAAAAATTTATTGCTATTTGGAACTGAAATTAGAACCTTGAACCGTTTCAAATTTAAAAGGAACCACAACCACTTTTTTTTAAATTTAAACCAGGAGCCCTTTTTCGTCCAGGTTCTAAACTCTAGTGACAATTCTTTTATATTTCGAATGTAATATACATATTAATAAAAATTGATTTACCTGTTCGGGTAGATATACCCGTCATAGAGTTCCTGTGACGCCAAAAGTTGATATCATTTTTAAAAGCTAAAGTATCGAAGAGCAGCTTTTTTTAAAAAAAGATAGGGAAAATTTTAAATAGAAATAAATTCATATTAGTTAGAGATTTACAATGTGTTGACTTTCACATACAAGCCCGCCCATTGTTTAATAAATTACTAAGCCTTTCGCTTATGTGGGAAAAAAGATTCTCTAGTGCTAGCATGCCTTTTGGTTTAAAAATGTTGTATGTCAGCCCGTTGTTTAAAAATAAACTGATTGGTTTTGTTCCTATTAATTATGTTTATTTTATTTTAGTATATTTCCTTTTTACTTAAACTTATAAAATATTTTAAAATAGGTTAAACCATCTACCCGTCATTCATTGTTTAAATTACTTATTTGGGTGTCGGTAGGTTAAAAAACGACCGTTGCAGTCCCCTAATAGCAGTGGTTTTAGTGATTAACTATAAAATCATACATTTGATCGCTGGCTGGGCCTCTAAGATTGGGGGAAGGGGGAGGGCGATGATGCGTCATTAATCAGAGTATAACTTAATCCATTTAAAATTGAATCATTTTATATTTGAATCAATAGGAGGGGACTCGGTGCCATTAGATTGGGAGTTCTACAGGGATCTGCCCAGCGTCAACGATATATCTTATTATTTATAGAAATGTTAAAGAGTTAAAGGTGCTCAAAAAAAACGTCTTGCTCAGATTTCAAGACAACTTTAGGCTGACTTTTTTGCCCGCTCTATGATGCCATTGCATGGTCATGTATTGTGGCATGATAATTTAAGAAATAAAAATAATTACGACATTAATTAAGATTACTACAAAATAATTTATTACGTGAAAGAACGCGATAACGAAAGTTAGCAGTAGCAAAAAGATATTGGTGTCCACGAAAAGCGAATTTATTTCATCGGTATCTTTATCGGTGAAACCTGAGGAACATAAATTATTTACCATATCATAAATATGATTATAATAATATATTTTAAGGGTAATAGAGAATAATGGTCTAGTTCAAGTTGTACCATGGAACAAATTAATTTTGTAAAAGGTGGTTCGGACTATTTAAAATTAATCATCCGTTTGAATTTTTAAATATCCAGATAGCCAAAAATGAAAAATATATTTATTTAAAAGCGGTAAATCCTTTTATAACTGAAAAGAATTATAAATTAAAAAAATTTTTGGGCCAGAATAAAAACGAAAAAAAAATTATTATTTAAGTTGGTTTATTTACTTTTTTTTCTTCCTTTGTTTTTAAATATATCGAAAAATATCATATAAAAAAGGGGGATGGGAGGGCGAGATAAATTTTTTTTTAAAAAAATGGAGCAACTTCATTTAACAATACCTAAATTTTTCATAGAATCTGCCGATCTTTCTATGGTAGTAAATAGTCTTAGTTTGCCAAAACTTGTAGGTTTTATGTCAATCGAAGTTGTGGCGACACTAGCATTAACCGGGTCAATGATATCGGATATAGGCTTTAAATAAATAAAGATTACGTTTTTCTCTACTTATTTTAATCTTTTCTTTTTTTCTGTCATATAATTTATTTATAAACTTTGTAACGTTTGATCAGCCCATCAACATCACTCATACAAGCTATAGGAAGATATTCCCGTTTTGAGTTTAACCTATTAATAATAAAGAAGGTACAATCAAATCATATAAATATGTAAGCTTAGCTAGAAAAGTCTATATCAATATTGAATTTATTCAATAAATTAGATGAGTAGATAGTCTTTTTTAAAAAATTATGATGCCTTAAAATTATTTTAGATATCATAACATTTAAAAAAAAATGAGAAATCGTCAATTACGGTAAAAACTACTTCTCCAATGCAATGAACTCTAATTTGATTGTAGACAGTATCCAAGTATAAAAGTACCTAATAAATTTGGCGATTTCTAGAGGAATGCGAGTCGTTTTCAAAGGGCTAGCATCATTAACCACGTGAATGGTTAGCTGTGTCAACACATAATTTATCAATTCATCTTTTGATAAAGGATCGGAGGTTGGTGTACTATTGGTTTTCTTTACAAAAAATATTTTTTAATTAGTGAGTTATTTTTATCAAAATAAGCTAAATATTATTAAATTTATTGAATGATAGCATAATTATGGTATTTATAGGAACGGTCAGATTAGCTTGAACTCTTATTTCATAAATAAAAGTAAAGGATATGGCATAAAAATTGAATGAAGTGTTCGCTAATCAAATTTTATTCTAAAACATTTATTGAATGTGAATAACCATGTCAAAGAAATCTAGCATAAAAAGAATATATTTCAATGAACGTAGAGATGAAAGATCTAATAATCCTATAAATATTCATAAAATTGAAATATTTTGGCCAATAATTGACTCTAAAAATAGAGGCCTCATTAGTCATATGCAATATTTTTAACCAAATAAATTTTGACCAATTAATAATGAGAGTATCTACGATAGTGATCTGCATCGGGCCTAATTTTTCAAGCCCGGCCCGTTTTTTAAAAAATTTTGCCAGTCCGGCCCGAATTTATTTAAATATAGAAATTAATTCTTATATATAATTACTCAAAATAAACGATATATGTTATATGGCGTCTACTTTCTATAAATAAAATCACATATTTTTATTTTACATGAAAAATTCATCAAAATTGATAAATTTAGATATATTTTAAAAAAAATTTAAGGCCCGACCCGGCCCGAATTTTCTTAAAAAATATTAGGCCAGGCCCGGTTTGCAGATCTCTAATCTACGAAACAATATTTAGTTTAGTTTGCTAAGATATATGAAGATAAAATTTCCAAAGAAAATGTAAAATTGGAAGTAGTTTCGCATAAAAAAAATTGTCCAATTTGTGTTTATTATTTGCTGCATTTAAAAATCTCCATACTGTAGCATAAACCATTACAATCTATTTCTTGCTCAAGAATTTGTATAAACATTATCATAACAGTTACGCAAGTAGATATTACCCTCGTCTACCCACTCCCATATCAAAATTCGCACAAATTAGTAAAATTATTTTTAACCTATCGTTTTGGCTATATTTTTGTCAAATATATAAGAAATAAAAAATCCTGTAATTAAAATACACGTTTAAAGGAGAGGCTGGATAAAGACGGGAAAATATATAAGCATAGGTCGCCCCCCACCTCAAAAAAATAAATAAGGCAGCTATAGACATTTGTAAAAGATGCCATATCGCCAGTCCACCCCTGTATATAATTTATATTTTTATTAACTTTAATTTAAAAATAATGTAGTTGTTTTAAAGCATTTTTCTATAAATATAACATTTTATTATTCAAACAGTTCAAAAATTCCGGGATGCTCCTGGAGTGAACGAAATAAAATTTTAGAAAAAAAGTGATCAAAATTAGTATAAATTAGAGCTCAGCGCAGTCGGGTCCGAAAGTCCGTTCCGCAGGTCGGGAAGAGATTTTTGGTTTGGGCCCACCTTTAGTATAAATATCATCGATCCTTTAGTTTTAATACCTGCCAAACTAAAATTACCAAAGTGGCAGACATAATTAAATGAAATATTTGATAATTATAGAATAAAAATAATTCATATGCAAAGATTATATATATATATAATTTGGTAGTTTGTCCAAGACCAAAAATGATTTTCTAAAGTCAGAAACCAAAAATGTTACTTTAATTTTTAAACAATATTTGGTTATAATAAAATTAAGATAACAATAAATAGGTATAGCAAGTTGAGGTTCTGATGTCAGAAAAGTAAATTTGACTAATCTCAATCATAAATGTCCTATTCCTAGAGCTAAACCTAATGCTTTTGCAAACAATATCCTTAGCGTCATAAAATTTGTTAACTCGATATTGAAGGACCCAAAAGTGCTCGAATAATTTTTCTAGGAAAATTCAATCGCATCAAGTGTTAGGGAAAAAATATAAATATTTCGTTTAAGCTTCATAAAATAATGTTTTGAACACAGAATAAATTTTTTTTTAAAAAAAATGATAAAATTGATTATTTAGGATGATCAGTTTAAGAAACATTTTTTTAAAATATGATTTGAATCCAATTAATAAACTATACCTTGGATTTCAAGAGATTAAAGGTGCCAAGTGGAGGGGGCATCCATTTATTAATCTTGTAAGCAAATTTGTATGAATTTTCTGAATAATATGGGTTTTCATTATGAGGAACCAAATTTAAGTGTAAAAATAAGTCGTCTCTTATTCTGAAAGTGGATAGTGCCTTTTGGATATCTATAGGTCTGTTATCATTGATAAAAAATAATAATGTAAAGATATCATATATATTTAATTTTTAAAAAACAATCAATTACCTACATAAATTAAATATTTTCTTAAATAAGAGAGGATCAAATATAACTCTGTTACAATAAAAATCTATTTTCAAAAAGTATTCTTTAAATATATATATTTAAATACTTTTTTCTAATTTTTTATGTAATTGTCATTTAAATGTAATATACATTTTTTTAAATGTTTTTATATTTATTTTAAATTTGCACAACCCTGCCTTCAGGCCTAGCCTGGAGCGGATGATAAAATAATATGATTCTAAAAATACAAGAAGAGCTTAAAAAAATATAAATTCACTTCTGAAATATTATGGCGTGCGCTGCTTTTTAACCGAGGTCACAATAGTGGGGACCAGAGCACCGACATAATTATTTAATAATATATATTTTTTAAATTGCTAATTGAATTTTTTAAAAAATGCTAAATTAAAAATAAAATATACACTTTACAGATATATCGGCATATTTTTAGCTTTATTGAAAAGAAAATAATTATATTTCTAACTCAATAAAATAATTTTTTTTAAATTTGCTGTACCGTGCTAATTACTGGAACACAAAGAATATTTTGACTACAGAATAGCATTTCCCGAAAAGAATATGGCATTCTTGTTCAGTCTAAAGGGGAATCATAATTTGTGTGTTGTATAATGTTAATTTACTAACCTTGTCAAATAATTTGTATTTGATATTTCCTCTTAGTTTTCAACCTTTCTATTTACTAATCCAATATCAATACTCTATAAGTTTAAAATATTTAATAATGAATTCAGACAATGTGAAATTTTGCTCCATATATTTACAATTTTTAATTCTTAAAATCTTGGGTCTAGAAGAGGAGCCAACCCCAAGATAATTTTCAAATAAAAAGTAATATAAAATATATAATATAGATTGCAGATCGCAAACAGGAAATCGTAACGTTAGTTATTTTTAGCATATTTTTCTTCTGTGAAATAATTTTTGAGCTATCATTATCACTTAACTATTAATATGTTTCTATTTCACTTCTTAAAAAAATGCCAACTTCAATGTAGACCCCTTTTGTAAAGATAAAAATTCAACTGTTTCTTTAAATTTCGAAAAAAAAATTAATAGTTACTCTACAAGATCCAATTCATGGTATGAATGTTTAAGATAATGCGTTCCAATTCTTTTCAAAATATTATTAATTCACTATTAGACTTTTATTAGCTCCAGATATGCTTTCAACTTTTAAGCATATTTTATATACTATGCCATCTGGTTGGGACATTTAATTTTATCAATTTAATTTTAATGTTCTTGTTTTAAAAATCATTTTATCATCATTGTCTGTGGTTACATTGCACATCTGTAATGTTTTGATTTCAGAATCATCTAATACTTTTATTAGAAAGTATTTTTGATTTTCGAAGTTGGCTATTCAAAAATTGATAACAAGCAAAATCTATTATAAAAATCTTAGTGTCGTTAAATAGCTCAATTTTGTAGATTTTTAAAAACAATTAACTCAAGATTTTAGCCAAAGAAAATAAATTGATATTTTTCTATAGATGGTAGAGTTTGGACAGTTATTGGTGGAATTTTAGGTGTAGGTAATAATATTTTAGCTAAATTAATTTAGTCATTTATAAAAATTAAGATTTTTAACAAAACTACATTTAACCATAAACATTTCGCATATTTTAAATGAGATAATTAACTTTTGGAGAAAAAAACAAAACAAAATACACTTAACAAAGTTAGTTGGTTTACCTAAGTTGGTTGGATTTTTTTTATTAGAAAAATATTCATTTTTTGACATTAAGTTCTGTAAATAAAAATTAATGTAAATATTGGATCAGTATACTTTATTGGATCAGTTTTGTATTAATATTGGAACAAATTTGGTTGATGAAAAATTTGTAGATCAGCAGAGCTCTAAATAGAAGATAAACTTCAAATTTGTAGATTAAGCATAATCTTAATTTTACTTAAATAAATTATTAATTCACATTTATTATCAAGAGGATCATAATTAAGGTGCAGACACATCCAGAAATAAATGAGATATCATATTACCAATTTACAGTAAATTTAAAAAATTATTGTACAAATTTCTATGACCAAATGAAAACCTATAAGAACATTCTATATTTAAAAAGTATGAATTTCAAGCTTTTACTTTAAGGTTGTGCATAGAAATAAAAAGCCTGAGGTATGATAATTAAAAATATGAATTAAATTAGGCTATTTAATCAATATTAAAATATTGACATATGTGATTATACTTGTATAAAGATTCATTTAATTGTAGACTTAAATTTGTTATAAGTATAGATGACTTATCATAACTTTTTTGATTTGATAAAAAGATAAATATCTAAAATTTTTATTTAGATTTATCATTAGAAAACATAAGAATTACATTATAATCCTTAATGTGAGATTTTAAGGCTTTCATGCATATTCGTGGGTCTTTTTTAATATCAGTATTTGAGCAATATTCAATTTGAAACATATAATAAAAGGTTAAGATGGAATAAAAAAAGTAAGCCGTAAATGCCGATATAATAAAATTTTTGGTGGATATCATTCTCGATTATAATCTGCGTTCTGTAGAAAGAACATATGGTGGTACTCATGATAGAATAAATATGTTATATGTATAATTTTTTTTTTTTAAAAAAAAATACTTATGTCATTTATTTTTAAATTAAAAATATATATAGAAATAAAATTATATTAAAATTAACATATCAAATAAAATATAAAATAAAACAATATTATATAAAAACGTTATTTAAACATTACTCAATTATTTAAACCATAATATTCATGAATCTTGATACAACAAAATTTAAATTTTTAATTTAATTTTATAATTTTTATTTTTTTTAAATAAAATTTTTGGAATTTTAGAAATAAGTCATTCGTTCATATATATCCCCTCCCCCCTCTAAAATTGGTATGTCAAACATTTGTAATGCTTGCCATAGAAATATAACCTTGACCCAAGCTATTTTTTTATAAACATGGGCCCAGGTCAAAACCATGTATAAACTCTGGTAAACCCCCTTCAAATGAAATTTTGTACAACAAAATTGAAACAACCCCCATTGTAACTCAAAATTTTTTTCCTGATTCTGATAATTTTTTAAAGTGGGAAAAGCCACCAACCTTAATCCACCTACCCCTTAATTCAATATCTTTAATTTCTTATTTTTTAACAACACTTATTATGGAAGTTAATTCAAATTTAAATTCCCTTAAAGCTTGGGAGAATCTTTTAACCTTTCCCTTTAAAGTCTTAATTAAATCTACAGATAAAAATAAAAAAACTATTTTGCATGATATAAAATATAAAATAGACCATTTTTATGACTTAGAAATAGAAAATTACGTTCCTGATGTAAGGGCTACATCTGATTTTGCCCATAAATGCATAATTATATCAAAAAAAAGGCCAAGGGGACGTATGTGGAGCTCTTAAATTAGCTTCATCTAATGATAAATTGGCTCCATTTGATGAACATACTTTTACTTTATTAAAAGAATTGCACCCTCAGGTTTTTCCTGAAGATCTTCCCATCCCTATAAAATCTAATTTAATCGAAATAGGTAAGGTAGAACTAATTAAAAAAATTTTATCTTTTAATAAAAACTCTGCAGAGGGAATTGATGGTTTTCGCCCTTCTTATTTCCAATTTTTAATTAACCCTAAAAATCCTTATCAAGATTCATTTGTAAATTTATTGGTAATACTTAGTGAAAATATATCGAACAATGATTTACCTAGTCAAGTTCACCAAATTCTCTTTGGCGCAAGATTAATTGCTTTTTCTAAGCCTGATGTTGGAGTTCGGCCAATTGCAATAGGGTCTTTTTTTAGGAGACTATTAGCTAAGATAATCGTTGAGCGCATCAAACCTGATGCTTCAAAAATGTTCCTAACTTATCAACTAGGCTTTGGTATTAAAGGGGGATGCGAAATAGCCGCTCACTCTTTTCGCATATATATCGAAGATCCTCCTCCAGACGCCGTAGTCTGTATGCTTGATTTTAAAAATGCTTTTAATTCTTTATCCAGAAAAGCATTTTTGAACATTTTTTATTAAAAATTCCCAGTTTATGCAAGATTTATTGAACAGTCTATGGCTGTAGAACCCCTCTCAAATTCGGGGAATATACAATTCCATCTTACGAAGGTATTCAACAAGGAGACCCTTTGGGCCTCTGATCTTTAGTTTAGGTATACATAACCTAGTTCATTGTTAAAATCCTTTTTTAATTTAGATGTAAACATATGGTATCTAGATGATGGTACCATTTGCGGACCTTCTAAAAATATTCTTGCAGCGATAGAATATATAGAAAAGAATTCTCAAAACATAGGCCTTAATAAAGCTAAATCTAAAATATGCTTTTTAAATTCAAATACTCTCAAAGTCCAAGGGTTTAAAATCATTTAAAAAAGTGAAATTAATCTTCTATTTTTCCAACTGTAAGGTGTTCGTGGAAAAATTTTTCGAAGGCTTATTAGGACTTGAAAGTATTTTAAACGAAATTCCTTCACACCAGAGCTTTTTTCTTTTAAAACAATATTTATTTTTACCTAAGATTTTACATATTTTTAGATCATCTTCCTTTTTTTTTAAAATAATGAAATTATTAATCGTCTTCATGAATTTTTTAGAAGTTTATAAGAAAATATTTTAAATATTAAATTGGAAGATTTTAATTGGGGTTTCTTACAGTTACCCTCGAAAATGGGTGATTTAGATTTATATCCTTTAAATCTTATATCTTTTTCCTCATTTTTGGCATCGCGTTTGATGAATAACGCGATGACCTAAAGGTAAACTTTTAGACTCAGCTTTGACAGCCCGGGTATCTTTAGCTCCACCTTAAGCTGTCTTACCCACAATCTTAACACACCAATCTATTTTAGAACTTTTAATTAAAAATTTTTTTAAAATAATCTCATCAAACCCCTTTGGAGTATATTCAACTATTACAGAATGCTGACTGTACTAGTGGTTATGAATGGCTGGAACCATTACAAAATCGTAACCTAGGTAACCTCTTATCAGTTGAACAATTAAGAGTTGCCATAGGCCATCGACTTGGATGTAACATTGTTCAACCACAAACATGCATCAAATGTAAAATATTAGTTGACTCCAAAGGGAGACATGGTCTAAATTGTAATATATAGTCAAGGCAGGCAGGCAATGCATGCAGCAATTAATTTAGCTATTAGTCTTTCTCTTACCAGGGCCCGAATACCAAACATTCTGGAGCCTACAAATTAATCATTAGATGATGGCTTAAGACCAGATGGCTTTACTTCACTGCCTTGGTCTTTAGGGAAATCCTTAATTTGGGACTTCACGTGCTTGTCTTCTTTCCCAAAAAATTTAAATTCTAATCCGGTTGATATAGCAGAGAAAAAAAAACAATGAAATATTTCAAATTTACAAATTATATTTTTACACCGATTTTTATCTCTTCCCTTGGACATATGCCAAGCGGAACTTTAAAGTTCTTAAAAAATATAGAGGATAAGACAAGAGCCCTTACATCAGAACCAAAAGAATTCTATTTTTTAAAACAAAACCTACAAATCACTATTTTAAAATTTAATTACTCATGTTTTTGGGAAATTGTAGTCCCACCTTCGTTTTTATATAATGTTTTATTTTATTTTATATTTGATATGTTTTTAATATTAATTTTATTTCTATATATATATGTATAAATTAATATTATTATCTTATAAATTTTGGTAATCACCTTTTTTAAATATAACGCTAATATTAGCTGATGATTAAACTAATATAAAGTGATATTTAAATGATAAAAACAAAAGACACATTTTAGATATTTAAAAATACTTTGAACAAGTTCGGTTTTAATTTTTAAATGCAAAGTTATGGAAAAGCATTATCTCATATCATTGATGGTAAGTAATATATTACTTCTATTCATTTATTTTAGTCAGGTGCTATAGCTGGAACAGCTGTTGATACAATATTATTTCCACTTGACACGATTAAAACGCGTCTGCAAAGCAATGCTGGATTTTTTAAGTCTGGAGGATTTAAAAAAATTTATTCAGGTATAGGAGCTGCTTTTGTTGGTTCTGCGCCCACTGGTATATTTTTGTTAAATTTACAATTAACTTATTTTTTTGTTAGCTGCAATATTTTTTATCACATATGAATTTTGTAAAAGAAATTTAATTTATCATAATTACATTGTTTTAAATTATATGATGAGTGCGGCAGTAGCTGAAAGTGTATTAAATAAACATTAATTACTATGTATATTGAAATTTTTTAGGTTTCATGCATTATTAGAGTCCCCATTGAAGTTATAAAGCAAAGAAGGCAGGCTTTCTTCAGCTTATCAAATGATAAAATAATCAGAGATATATTGTTAAAAGAAGTATTTAAACCTAATATAATTTTGAATTTATAATACCTAAGGGTCTTTTAGGATTTTATCGAGGGCTATTACCTACTATACTTAGAGAAATTCCCTTTTCATTTGTTCAATATCCTCTTTGGGAATATTTTAAAAAAGTAACTTATAGTTATTTTTAATTTATCATTATCAATTTTATGTAGAGCCAGAAATTTAAAATAACTTCTGAGTATAATTTTGTGGATGCATATACAAAAGGTGCTTTGGCTGGTTTCTATAAAAATTTATCATCTCCATATCAAAATTTGTTCTAGGTGGTGTTGCAGCAGCATTAACTACACCATTGGATGTAATTAAAACAAAAATCATACTTGCCAAAGTTAAATACTTATTTTATATGTATAAAAGAATATTATTTTATAATCAGAAAGACAATTCCCAAATATCTATCATTAAAATCTGCAAAGACATAAACTTAAATAAAGGATTTAAAGGGTTTGGAATATATTTTTATAGTTTGTTCCTATTTAAATTTAGATATTTTGCTGGTCTGATTCCAAGAATAATGTGGATATCCATTGGTGGGGCAATATTTTTGGGCACTTATGAAATCACTTCTAAAAACTTTGAAAAATATTTTAAAAATTATTAATTTATTTAATTATATTGTCTTTATGAAATACCTCATTGGAAAAATTGTGATCATTGTTAAATTAATATAACAAAATTTTACATTGCTTATTATTCCAATTTTGTTTTTAATCAAATATGAGTAGTATATTTAGGATTTAACCTTGGTAGATGAAGGGACGGTGTCAACTTTTTTCAAAAATATGAGTTAAGAGGCAATAAATTTTAATAAATATTATTTTAAATTAAATTTTTTTTAGAAAATCAAAATAGAGTTCAAACAAATTCAATTTGGGCATTGACTAAGCTTTTTGTCCAACTTAGGGAGTTGCCTAAAATATATTTTTAGTTTAGCAAAAAGTGAGAATGTTCAACCATTTGCAAATAATTTTTGAAAATAAAATGTTATCTTTGTTTGTTTATTTGATACAATGTTTCAGGCACTAACGTAGTGGGGGGGGGGGCAAATTCAAATCCCCCCCCCCCCCCCCAAAAAAACAAAAAATGCAGATGCCGGTTCAAAAATATTATTGTTAATATTAATTTATATTTGTTAATATTTATTCCTATCTCATATATATATTTAATTAAATTTATTTATCACATTAAATCTACTAAGTTATTTTATCAATTAATTTCGATTTGAAGTTTTGCTTGGCTTAATTTACCTATTATTTTCAAATTTTAATGGCGTAATATTTATCTAAATTTCTAGTCAAATAATAATTATCTATAAAACTCTTTGTCCAACAGGGAGAAAGAAATTGCAAGCTTGTCCAACGAGATCGAATCTCCGCCATTAAGCAGTAACAGCTTTTATGGAGTTAGAGCTGATTATTAATGCTATTACTGAAATATCACAATGGCTTGAAAGAAATATTTCCTTAGAAGCAAGAAAATTATTGAATTCAATACTTATTCCTTTTGAGATACTCTTTTATTTTCCAAAATTCAAACTTTTATTTTCTTTTTAAAACCAATAAAAAAAAATCAATAATATTTTAATAATAATAAATAAACAAACATATGCCTAGAACACCTCCCTTATTTTTAAGAGGGTTCTCAGGCTACTAAATATATATATAAAAAAAATATTACACTTTATAATATATAAAAAAATATTACACTTTATAATATATATTGCTCCTCTTTATTCATTAACCTCATTTATACCCATCTCTGCGAATTCTTGTTGCACTTCTTCAGCCACGTTCATTCTAGTAGCAAAATTGATGGGTCTTTTCCTTTGTAAGGCTTGTTTTTTCATAAGTGTCTTTTGTACTCCAAAATTTTTCTGATTCATAAGTACTTGCTTAGGCAGGCTTACATTATAACGATCCAGAGTGTTAGCACGGGTAAAATTCGAATCATTGACAACTTTATTTGTATTACTATCATTATTATTGATAACATAAGTATTGCTAGGACATTGAGCCGCTTTATGCCCCTCACTTCCACAGGCAAAGCAAGTTAGACGGAATATGGGTTTGTTGAATAATGGTTGAACATTCATCATCCTTGATCTATGAAAAGATGGTTGCACATTTATTGTTGGTTGGTTTGGTAACTGACCATTTCTCCCAAGTTCCTCCTTTCTATTTGCCAGTTCAGTCCATGCACAGGCTAAAGCAGTCCCTGCTTGCGCTTCATTGATCTGCAGGATACTAGATTTTAAGCTAACGTAATACGTATTCATATTATCAAACAATTTTTAATTAATAAAATTATTTACTAAACATCATTAACTTTTCTTATTCATTCCAACTCATATTTAATTATTATTTTCACAATATAAATTAATTTGATAAACAAATAACATTTTTTAATCCACCTCATTATTTATTTCAAAACATATATTTTCCAAACTTCATTAAATCAACCTCTTGCTGCATAATTTCATTTTTTCCATAATATTCCATAAGTTGTTTAATTTATTTTTTCTTTTTATCGATTCTTTACCAAATAAATTGATTTCTTATCTTAACATTCTATCAATTTAAAAAGTTAACACAATCTACATTACTATAAAATAATTTCCCTTTTCAACTTTTCCTTTTATCTCTCAACTGTTTTTTTTTAACACAAGAAAAAAAAAACTATTAACCACGATATGCTTCATTTCACTTAATAACAAATATTTAATAAAACCAAAAAAATGACTTGCAATATACATTTTTGTTAAACCAAACGAATTATCAACATATTCAGTTATATTATCTCATATACTAAGACAATTCTTACTTTTACCTTTACATACTTCTAACTATTCAATTATATATATACATATATACCAAACTATATCTCAGTTTTTTTTATGATCCTTAAACAAATATTTTAATAATCATAACTCGAACCGAACAAATATTTTAATAATCACAATTCGAAATGACCCGAACAAATATTTTAATAATCATAACTCGAAATGACCCAAACAAATATTTTAATAATCGAAATCGACTCAGATATTCCTGTCCCAATTAATTTAATAATTAAAATGGTTTAAAATATTTAAATTAAATATAACCTTTTATTCTATTCTATATTTCTAAATTCTATATATATATTTTTTATTCTATTCCACTTATTTCCCCCTTTTTTTTAATTGATCACCATGCCTCATTTCTACACTTTTATTTTCCATTACTACTGAACATAATTTATTCTCCAAATTCTCTATCACCACTCCTTTTTCCCATTTTTTCCCTTTTCCATACATTCTAACCCAAACCAATTGATTCACTATATACTTCACCTGTTTTTCCTTCTCCTGTACCTCCACAATTTCTCCAGGTTTCAACATATCCAAAAACATATTTATTTTTCGACCTAACAATTTTTCCGCAGGCGATTTACCATCTTTGCCTTTAGCATTATTATAATACAACTGCAATATCCATATTTCACTTCGGTTATCTTTAGTTTTCATTAACCAACTTTTAACAATCGCCACCATCCTTTCCGCCTGTCCATTCAAACTAGGATGGTACGGTGGTGTAACTATATGATTTACATTTAAATTGATACAAAAATTTTTAAATCCCATACTAACAAATGCTGGACCTCCATCCGATACCATAACTTTCGGTATTCCAAATCTCAAAAATATTTTTTTACAAAATTTTATTACAATTCCCGTGGTTAATCCATGTACCTCCACGAATTCTATCCACTTCGAAAACGAATCAACCATTAAAACAAATTTTTTCCCTTCCCACTCGAAAAAGTCCAAATGAATTCTTTCCCAAGGTTCTTTAGTTCTCGGCCAACTACTATTTTTATCTCTAGGGGGCATATTGGCACAGGAATTACAAACCTCACAATTTTCCCCTAATTTATCAATTTCTTCATTCATCCCGGGCCACCATATGTATTCCCGTCCCCATTGTTTCATTTTCGTAATTCCTTGCGCATGTAAAACATCTAAAATTTTTCCTCTTACATTACGAGAAATAACCGCTCTATTTCCTCTCATAATACATTTATCTACTATAGTTAATTCCGCTTCCACATTTTTAAATTTCTTTCCCTGATCACTCCATGGTTTTTTCCCAGTAATCCACAATTTTACCAAATTCAATTCTTTATCCTTCATAGTATATCTCTGAATATCCTCCCATTTGGTGGGACTACCCTTTAACACTTTAGTTAATATCCTGATAAGAGCTTCCTCTCCATTTTCTTCATTAATTTTCCCCTCTTGTTTCTCATTAATGATTTCTAATCTAGACATAATGTCCGGCAAATGATTCTCTTTTCCCTGCCTATACTTCAACTCCAAATCAAAACTTCCTACCAGCAGTAACCACCTTTGCAACCGAGGCGACATCATTAACTCCTTATTATCTTTTTTGAAAAGATGTATTAAGGGTTTATGATCTGTGTACACTACAAATTTCCTCCCTATCAAATATTCCCTGCATTTTGTCAATCCAAAAATAACTGCCAAAGCCTCTTGTTCTATCACCGAATATCTTGTTTCTACGTCTCTGAACACCCTCGAAAAAAATATTACCGGTCTCTCTATTATCAAATGCAATAAAGCTCCTCAAACACCTTTATTCGATGCATCTACCGCCAAAATAACCTACCATTCACTGTTAAAACACACTAAAATAGGCTCCTTGCTAATTTGTAATTTTAACCATTCAAACGATAATTCTTGTTCATCTTTCCACTCAAAAGATACATTTTTCCGTAATAACTCATATAAGGGAGCTGCTACCCTTGCAAAATCTTCAATAAATCTATGGTAATAATTTACCATTCCCATAAATGATTGAATCTCCGCCTTATTCGTCGGCTTTCTCATATTTGCAATACTTATCAAATTTTTATCCAATGGTTTTACCTCTATTCCATTTATCTTATGTCCCAAATATACCACTTCGGTAACTCCCATAACACTTTTTTCACTACTCGCACGCAATCCTTTAATTTTTATTCGTTCAAAAACCTCTTCCAACCTTCTATTATGTTGTTCTACCGTTATTCCCGTAAGTAATACATCATCCATATAATAAAAAACACCTTCTAACCCTTGGAAAACCGCGGCCATTGTCCTTTGAAAAATTGGTGCCGAAACACTTAATCCAAATGGCAATCTACAAAACGTAAACAATCCTTTAAACGTCGTTATGGTCAACAATTTCCTCGTAGATTCTTTCATAGGTAATTGCAAATACGCACAGGAAAAATCTATTTTTGATAAATACTTCGCCCCCTTTAAATTCGCTAAAATCTCTTCAATTCTCGGTAACGGATACTTTACTTCCACAACCCATGGATTTAAAGTTACTCTAAAATCCGCACAAATCCCTAACTTGCCATTAGCTTTCCTCACCGGAACTAATGGAGTCGCCCATTCGCTATATCCAATGGGACAAATTATTCCATCTCTTAACCAATTATCCAATTCTTTTTCCATTTCTGCTCTCCACTCAAAAGGTACCCTCCTAACAGCACAATATTGTGGAATATATCCTTCTTTCAAACATATATCTACTTCATAATCTACTAAACGTCCCAATTTTTCATCAAAAATTTCTTTATATTTTTCTTTTAAATTAATCATG